CATGATACCAGGGGCCCATCACCCACTGGATATGCAGGAGAAGTTAATGCGAGCAGCCGCACCGGAAAAATCATGGGTAGCCACCGGCACATTCCACCCTTTAGCTAGGAATTGTCTATCACTTGCAGGACATTGTGCATTTTCTGCGCTGGCAAAGAATAATGTTAACCTCTTGCTGTCGCCTCTGAAAAACAGGGATCGTTGGTTAAGGTTCGGCGACATGTCTGACGATCAAGATTTCTCTTGGCATAACTTGATCATTGGGGTCAGGCTTCATCAGGCTACCGGGAGGCTTTCCGGACATTATGCAAGTTATCAGGAATTATTAGGCTATTTTGATGGCGAGCCGGGCACTGGTGGTAAACGCGCTTGTCGAACGGTGCTTCAACATGCTCTGCGGGTTGGAGAGTACCATAACCACTTCTTGTCCCTCTCAACATATTGTGTCCAGAGCGTCGCCGATTTCTACCCCGTGCCCTAAAGAGCACTGGATTTAGCAGCACGCATGATGTTTTCCCAACTGGGCTTTGAGTTGCATAGCTTGGATGGATGAAGATGATGATTGTGTAACACGTGTGCAACCACCCCTTGCAATAAAATATGTCACCAACCTTTCTGCTGGAAATGATGATCACAAAAAGTCTATTGTTAGTGGTAGGTATCTACATCCCTCTCCCAAGTAGTGAGCTTGGAAGGGTGAAATGATGGTCTAGGTACCGTATAAATTAAGACGATCTGATTAGTACACGTCGGTCATATGGTCAAGGTTATGCCATGACATTGTGGGCAGTGGATGACGATCGTTGGAAGTTGCTTACCTCAAAATCTGCTAGGTTATGTTTCAAAACATGACAGCTCTTTTCAATCAAGTAGCATCATTGGTCTAGTGGTAGAATTCATCGTTGCCATCGATGAGGCCCGTGTTCGATTCACGGATGATGCAATGCGATTTCTTTTTCAAGGTTTTCTTTTTCAATCTTACTCTACCCGGTTTATCTTTTTTTCTCGCCCTCCTATCTTATCCGTGATTGTTTCTTATCTACAGGGCAGTTTAGTACTTCCGTCTGTTGAAGGCACAGTCCCTCATTCTCGAGCCACTTTCCAATTGATGGCTGTACTGTTTCGTCCACGAATGCGAGATACACCATCACTGTCTTCCTTGATCCATTTCAACGTTTCAACTGACTCCTTTGGAAGTTGTTGATGTCTATCATACTGAGAAGCTAGCCTGTGTAACATTCCACACCCTCAACACAAGGGCCAGGGTACACAAGGGTCTCATTGACAATTATCATGCCATGCACAACAATGGTGATCCGAAAACGCGATCGGCAAGCCATCATGCGTACCACAAGACTGGAAATCTTGAGGGGAACTGGTAGTCGTTTCCGAGGATTGCGATTGAAGCGGTGTAAATGTATGGTACGCGCTCGGTCGGGTGGACTGGGTGACGACAATTAATACTTGCCAAAGGTCGCTGAATACTCGAAGTATGTCATGCTGATTGCTCCATACTATTCAGCTGCTCAGCATGATGCTAGCCAGGCGCATATAACTGTAAAATGGACTCATCAAGAATTGGCGCGCCATGTGGTGATATAGCCTGAGCATATACACATGACGAAAGTAGCATTCGGATTTGCGTCAAGTCGGCGAGAGCTGCTCATCATGATAATATTGATCCTACACCTGCAATACTAACGAGATGATGGACACACCGATCACTAATTCGAAAAGAACAATAAGGAAATTCCTGTTCATGTGATTACTTTCAGTGCAGGTTAGCTACAATAATGCAACATAATTATCAGATTGAAGTGGGGTCCTTACAGACTTCAACCTCAATCATCAGATAAGATAGAAAGTAAGTTGTCTACTAAATGGATGAAAGAGGGATTTTATTCCCGTCACTTAGGGGTTAGCTGATGCTGGGATGATGGCCGCTGACGTTCCTACCACCGTCCGACAATCTTTTATCCCCCCGAATCCCCCACTCTCTGTCACACCACTTCTCTGCTATCATCTGCAAGTCTCAATTTGGATAGCTAACAGACGAACCTGGCCAGAGCTACAATGTCCAATAACAAGGAGTGCTCTCATGCCGTCGAGACTCCCGTTTCGGCTCATGATGCACAAGGTCCTGGCGTAACACCAGGACTTGGAAGTCCAGGTGTCCAGCGGATCGAGGCTCTTTCATCTCACCTACATATCCTCGACCGTGTGTTTCTATTCTGTGGCGTTTTCCTCATTGCCTATGTCTACGGCCTCGATAGCCTATTGCGAGGCACTTATCAGGTTGGCCTCCGCCAGCATGCTCACCGAGCTATATCAATGCTCATGGTTTTCTAGCCATACGCTACGGCATCATATGAATCACATAGTGTGTTATCGAGTGTTGATATTCTCAGAGCAGTCATTGCAGCAGCAGCCCAGGTTTGTGCCCCTTGGTCTTGTAATTCACAAACTAATCTGCCTTATTATGCAGCCGACTGCAGCTAAGATCGCCGATGTTTTTGGGAGAGTGGAGTTGATTTTGGTCTCGATATTTTTCTACACTCTTGGTACTGAGTGCAATTCATCCTGAGTCGGTGTGTTCTAACACTCAAATAGGCACTATTGTTGAGGCGTCTTCGAGTACGGTGGAGCAGTTTGCTGCGGGCGCCGTGCTTTACCAGGTGAGTTGAGAGTCCCACTTGGCTAAACAGATACTGCTACACTTCGACTAACATTGTGGTGTGCAATAGATTGGATACACGGCTGTTATCCTGCTGGTCGAGGTTTTGGTTGCGGATGTCACGTCGCTTCGCTCCCGTCTGTTGTTCTCATATATTCCAACACTTCCATTTTTGGTAAGTTAGACGAATTGGAGATAATGAAGTACTTGAGCCCAGCTGATGCCGGTAGATCAACACTTGGATTAGTGGAAACATAACTGGGGCTGTGCTGAAAGTGACTACATGGCGCTGGGGAATCGGCATGTTTGCAATAATCTATCCTAGTGAGTATATCCTCGCACCAGTCAGTCAATTTCTGACAGGTTTCAGTCTGCACGCTCCCTCTTCTCATGGTTCTCTACATTGTGTACCACAGAGCCAAGAAGGATGGTACAGTGGATCATATCGCAGGCGCCTTTCGCACGTTGGGTGTTCGGCGACTGGCGATTGAGTTGTTTTGGCAACTAGACGTGGTTGGCATTATCCTGATGATCGCTTTTCTTGCCATGATTCTGGTACCTCTCACGATAGCCGGCGGCCTGAATTCCCAGTGGAAGAAAGCAAGGATTATCGTTCCTCTCGTTTTGGGGCTGTGTTGTATACCAGTATGGGTTATTTGGGAGAGAACCTGCAAGCATCCTATGGTCCCATTTAAGGCAAGTAGCCAGTATATGGTCTGGGGTTCCCTGATACTAACGGGTCTATAGCTTCTCAAGGATAGAGCGGTCTGGGGTGCCTTGGGAATTGCTGTTATGTTAAACACCGGTAAGTGGGGGCATATACTGCCAGTACTCTGTCTAACGAGGTGCAGCATGGGCTCTTCAAAGTGAATATCTTTACACCGTTCTCATTGTTAGCTTTGGTGAGAGTATTACAAGCGCAACCAGGATCAGGTCCCTTTATAGGTAAGTTGCCGGAATTTGAACGCTTATACAGACGTTGAGCTTGTCCTTCACAGCTTTGCCAGTGTCCTCACTGGATCCATTCTAGGCCTTGTAGTCTACAAGGTCAGGCGACTCAAGCCATTCATAGTTGGAGGTACATTGTTGTTCATGGTGGCCTATGGAATCCTAATCTACTACCGCGGAGGGCCCACATCGTCCAGTTATTCGGGCATAGTTGGCGCCCAGATCCTATTAGGGATTGGTAAGTCCAGATAAACCAATTGAAGTTGAATTAACCTGACTACTATGTTTAGCTGGTGGATTGTTTCCCTACCCTGCGCAAGCCAGCATCCAAGCTGCCACCAAGCATGAGCGTGAGTTTCCTATATCTTCTCTTAGACTAATACTGACATCAGAAAGACTTGGCCGTTGTCACCGGATTATTCCTAGCCTGCTACAATATCGGCACTGCAATAGGAGGAAGCATTTCTGGGGCGGTCTGGACCCAGGTTCTCCCCGGAGAGCTAAACAGTAGACTCGGTAACGCCACAATGGCAGCTCAAGCATATAAGGATCCGTTCACATTCAGTACTACTTACCCGATTGGGACCCCGGATCGTGATGCCGTGGTAGCTGCTTACAAGCATACGCAGCGGCTGCTGTGCATTACCGGCATTTGCTTGACCGTGCCGCTGGTTGCATTTTCTCTCTGCACCCGCAACTTGGTTCTGACGAAAGAGCAAAGTTTTGCACATGCGGAAGAGGATACTGATGAAGCTTGATCGGCTATGACAACATACCAGTGCGGGGTCATAGATGGCTTTTATGGAATTGTAGCAGGGAGCTGTGATTGCTTAATGCTTATTGATGATATCCTGTTTCCTCATTCGCTAATTAAAATATGATGTTTGAAGAACCTACCACATTTTCATAAGCTGCTATCACAGAGTAATCGTGCTATCACAGAGTAATTGGAGAGAACCAGAGATGTATCGTACGATTGATGCGACTAGAACTGGCTTAACTCGTTGAATTACAGGTTCGCGACTTCGTTAGTCAGCCACCTTCCATGGAAACTTCGTCAACTGGTTGCTGTGATCTGTGCAAAACAACCACCACATACGCGCACATTTGGTCTTCTTCCCGGAAATCCAGAGAGCTTGTGTCTCATCTGGGTGATGTCAACGTTAAGTATTGCATTTCAAGGGAATGTGAAAATAACGCTACCTCAGGTAGCAATAAGATCAGAGAGAGATGGTCTCTTCACATTACCTCTCATGGCGTGCTGAGCCAACTTGATGATTTGGTAGTCTATTATTCAGTCCTATTCTACTTCTACTTCAGTCCTACTTACACATACTTTAGTTCTGCTTCGAACCAAATCATAGGATATTCAGTGATCATGTCCGACAAATTCGATGCTATCTGGGAGGACCTCCTGGCGGATTTGAAGACACTCCCTGCTATCTCGTTTGATGGATTCTCCCGTCGAATTCATTTCCGAGCTCGCTGGAATAGTGACTTCAACAGTCTGAGAAAGTACATTGGCACTGACCAACCATACCCTGCTGGCGATGAAAGTCACAACCAGGAGCTTGATGGCATGGACACAGGAAATGACTTCAGCAGGCTGGGGAATTGGTTCCTTGCTACCGAATTTATGAGAATTGATGATGATGGCTATTGGCAGGTGGCTATGGCAGCGCAACTGGCACCGGTCAGTTGATTACTTCATTATGGCTGCTAATTGCTTCAGCAGTAGCTAACAAGGAGGCCATTGATCTCAGTTTCTCTTCTATCCTGTCTTTACCCCAGGGGTACTCCGAGGCCTTATGTCGATGTGTCTTGCCGAGCATCTCAATACTAAATTCAAAAGCAATGGCCATCCCAGCCTCATGGAGCTGGCAAACACTACCGGCTTCGCAGACTACTTCATCAACAGAATACAAACCAAATCTTTCATCATCAACCTTGCCTTGACTGATCCCACAAGGTCTGATCATTTGTTTAGCATTTCAACCCTTCTGGTCGCGGACTATCTGTATTACAAAACTGCATGGCTTGACATATTTAAATTGTTCTCGAAAGACAGACCAAGCTTTAAAGCACTCCATGCCTGGTCTCTTGTGACATGGAATGAGCAGGAACGGCGCGATGAAGTGGAGACAGATAACATTGTGAAGAACTGTGGTATAGCCGCGACAATGGCATATTGCTCTGTGCTAGGCTCGCTGTCGACTTTTGACGCACTGAACTTCTTCTACAAGGCAGTGATGGCTGCGATTGATACAGATTTATTTCCAGAACTTCGTTCATACCTCGACAGCATCGAAGCAAGTTTGAAGAGGTTGATTGACGAAAAAGCTATCATCAACGAATTTGTAAGCTACTCCGAGAAGCTCTACACGACCTTCTACTACAACATGTCCGAGAATTGGCGTGATGGTGTACGCACCGCATGGAGAGAACGTAATACTGGCGCTTTAACAGACTGGATCAACAAGGGTTAGGCTCGCCATCCCGGCTTATTCTCATGTGGACATTATGGAATGAGGTCAGAGCTAACTTTAATGATACAGTTACGTCCTCGAATTACAAGAATCTATCTCCGCTTATACCAGTGGAATTACAATCTAGCCTTTTATCTGGAACGAACCTGAATCTTTCTCAAAGTGAATCAAAGCAGATCGAGGCTGTTGCTAACAACAACCGATTCCTTGTGTCCGCAAAGCCGCCACGATATAGCCACGAAGAGTATGGCACCGTAGCGTCAAAGTCTCTGAAAGTGTGCTCGGTCGGTTTCAGTAAGCTCCACACTCATTGATATTCTTCGGCAATATTAAGTTAACTGATGAAATGACAGACGGTGAAAAGCCTTTCACAACACCTTCGCAGGTATTCTACACTACTACTGGACTTCGAGCGGTAGACCCCGATTCCGCCAAAGCGAGTTGTCCACATGCCCATATTGGGCCACTGAGAAGAGGACATATTCTCTATCGCCTGGCTGGAAGTCTCGATAACAATGCGTACGAAATTGTGGAAATAAGATCCATAGAAGTGGGCCCCGAAACAGAGCAGACCGTATACAGCGTGTCGCTGTGGGCAGGCGAGCAATCGCATCACGCGAACGGTTACCTTCTTGCCATCAATGATCCCAACGTAAGTTCAAACGGTTCTTGTTACCAAATTTGCTTCGCCCTTATAATTGATTCATTCAGAGAGCTGTGGAAGCCACGGCCCGTGCTCTTCGTGCCCTTCCACCGAAGAAGCGACTCTCACTTCTTGCGTCATTTCACGAACTCAGTTCGACATTCACGAAGAACGACATTCAAGCTATCCATGAGCGACTGAATTACGAACTCTTTGGAAGTTATGGAAACAGAGAAGAAGGCCCAATCTCAAGGTCCGAGATCTTCCCGGCCCTGGTCTCTCCTAGCGACCAGCTGAAGGCGATGAAATACAACCCTCGACAGCTACCCAATGGCATCCCTCTGGACAGGATACAAAGAAGATTTTCGCTGGTCGCAATAGGCGACGCTAACTTGCCTTCGGCATACACGCTGCCCGACTTGAGCGTCATAGATGACTGTATTCTTATAAATGACTTGCCTCAGATCAGATGCAAGGTGAACCGGCATAAGAGAACATTTCGATGGACGCGCAAAGTTCAGGAAGATATGTTTGAACATGGAGTTCTGTCTCTCTACAGCCATGGGCTGTCAGGCAAGGGTGTGGTACTCATTTCTACCACAGATGCACCAGAAGATTGCTCAAAGAAGGACGTCCAAGCATTCGAGGCATTGCCCCAAAGCGTAGCAAAGAAGATCCAGCTGCTTCACGCTAAGCGACAAGCAAGCGAAAATAAAAGCGACGATGAAGGGGAATACATACCCGTTATCACAGTTTCAATGCAATACGACAAGAGCACCTGGACACCGGATGAACCAATAGATGAACCGAAGGATCCTATTTCCGGTATGGACGTGCAATGGGGTTTTCTGTATCCACCTGATGGATCCCAGACCACAGAAACGAGAGTACCCATTCTTGACGAGCTCAGAGACAGACTCAACGAAAAATACAATCGAGAGTTCGAGAGGCTTTATGATAGCTGGGAGGTAATACTGGACGACGGTAGGACCAGAGCAACCGTGGAATTCAACCTTGCCAGCGTCGTACCTTTTATCTCCGACGCTGGGATGGACGTCAACACCCTGAATGTGAATTTCAAGTCTCAGTTGGGGATTGATATTACTCTTCCGATTCTATTCCAGTCATTATATATCGACTATGATGTGGACCTACGCACAGTCAAGGGGGCCATATTTGACTACAATCCTCTGATGCGTGACACGAAAGGAGATAGGTAGGTAGCTAATGTGCCATATGATTTGCTTCATGTGCTAACATATGCAGACATTACATCTGTGGGACTTCCGACATTGATGATTCTGAGATCTATGATATGCGATTGAAGACATCTAGAGCGTTTGCAGATTGTGCGAACTTGACTGCGCCGACCTCGGTCAAGTCGGCCTTACAGCCAGCAGATGTGACCGAACAGTTGCATCTACTGCAAGAGCCTACAGTTGATGAGCTTCTCAATCCGTATGGCTATGATGAGGTTGCAGTAAGTTCAATGACCAACAGGACGAACTGGTTTCCGTAGCTGACCAAGTATCGCGGCACAGATTCATAACATGACTCAAGTGCTCATCAAATCGATGATGTTCTACCACATGGATGACGATCAGCGCGAAGATTTGACGGGCCAGGCCAAGCCCACAAATTTAAATTCGAGTCTGGCAGAAAACCTCCCGTCAGACCTGCAGAAATTCTTTCGAGAGAAGTACGCCCCCGCGTTTCTATGTCAGTCGGTAATGCGATATGAAAAGTATGAAGATAATTTCACAGAGCAGGAGAAGAAGAACATGCGGTACTGGTGGGACGGAAATGTGAGTATTGGGCGACATAGCAAATCTCTGATGAATGAGTGAATGCTAATGCGCTTTCATTCTTTCTTGTAGGGTGACAAGTGTCTTGCAAAGTCCAAGGAATATGCAGAAATCAACCGCCGGGCTTCTGTTGAGGCAGTTCGACAATATAATAAAGACATACTGGATAAATATCTCGACGATAACCCGACGGAATGGGCCTGCACTCTTTACGCCGCTCTGAAGGATAAGGGCCGAATGTTGACGTATCTAGCACATCCTATCCAGGGCGTAAGTAAAAGCGTTGCGCTTATACTATGGCCATCTATTGATGCGATGTTTCATGCAGAGCGTAAATGTGATCAACCGCGAGTGCTGTATCCTTGACGCATTGGCACCATCGGAGGGAATAGCTGATCAGTGGTTCGAATACTTCGTTGGCTTCGCCAGTGAGCGTCAAATTCACTATCCATACATTGATCCAGATGAGGACCTGGCTGGCCAATGGTTACATGATTCGATGAAGGATCTCATTCAACGTGTCCTTGAGGGAGATCCTTCTGTCGAAGAGGATGTGCGCGAGGGGTTGGAAAAGGACATAGAAGAATTTGAAAAGGCGAATGGACTTGATCAAACTGCAACCGCCGAGGCCAGGGCTAGCAATATCGTGGAGAAGGGGGCGGTGTTCTTTGCAGAAGCGAAGAAGTGGCTGACTGCGGTGGGCAAGGGCCTGGCGGTTGCTTTGCAAGGCACGAGGCTGTTTCAATTGGCGGAAGCTAGCTTCGACCAGGTGACAAAAGCTATCGGTGACAGCTTGCCAGGGCTTAAGAAGCTGAAACCGCTCGCTACGATAGGCATGGTATGCCGTTGTGACTCTTCGCGATAGTACCGGGCAAGGTAGAGCTAATCAAAGTTCACTAGGTCGCGTATTACGTATTCCAACTTGCGTCGAGTCTCTATGGGCTGATCACAGATTGGGACACCATGGAAGACGCTAAGAAAGCAGTGGTAATATTAGAAATGATAACAACCGTTGTGAATGGCATCAGTCAGGCTCGTGATGCCTGGAATAATTACAAAAACAGAGATACTGCCGCAACTCCAGAGGACGCCTTAGATACCGCCACTCTTAACCAGGGAGTTGAGAAGTCTGTTTCTGAAAGTGGAGGCGGGCTCGCTGAGATGTCGGACCAGGTTAATGGCGAAGGCACATTCAACGAGATTGTTAGCGACCACTTGCTCCCAGACGGCCCAGCTACCGAAGGTGACAATGCAGGACGTTGGAACGAAGGGTCAGATAAGCTGCCAGACAATGTCCCAGCGGGTGGGGAGGAAGTGGTGGGAAAGTGGAACGTATCTGGGAATGCCGTCAAGATCCTTAATGCTTTCTTGGGCATTGGATTAGTTATCGCAATGACCTTCAGGTCGGTTCACTCATTCCACTCCGCAGCTTACTTATCTGGTATCCACTAACAAGAAACAGTTTGGTCCAGGACTGGGACAAATTGACAACGGGAGGAAAGATCATCAACACGATCGCACTGCTTTCGCAAACACTCACCGTGGTTTTGGATATTGTGGAAGTGGGCTCATCCATTGGACTCTATACAGTCACAGGGGTATTTGCCACAGCTTTGCCAATCCTCGGGGCTGTGCTCGCGGTTCTTGGCATTGTGATGATGCTAATCAACCTGTTTGTGAACTTGTTCGGTGGCTCCCCACCTCCCGACCCGGTGCAGGAATTCATCGACCATGTAGCCAAAGGCCTAGTTGGGGGATTTGAAAAGGCACCTCCGCCGAAACTTGACTATACCATCCCCAGTGTTACCTATGAATCCGGCAAAGTGACAGGCATCACCATTAAGGGCGAAAACACCACAGGCGATGAGATCAGCATCCCCAACGCACGAATAATTGTGACCAGTGGCAGCGACGACGTCTGTCTGTTCTCTACGAATGAATTCGAACTGGTGGAGGACACAGACAGCGATAAGGACTCGGATGGACATCTCTATGTGACTCCGAACAGTAAAGCCGAGGGCACCTTGTCCAGTAGCGTTCTAGGCGACGAGACGGAGTACCATGAATATGATCTAGTGGTCGGAGGAAACAAGAAGGATACGGAGAACAGTTTGCACAAGCTGATCTTGCGAGCGAAGGAGAGCTTCACTGCAGTCTGGACGGGGAAAATTAACAAAAGCGGTCGGAGTCTGGTCGAGATCATTGAGAAATCGGATCTTGACAAATGCCATGTCCAGTACACGGTGTTGAGAATCTGAAAGTCCGAACCTGCTATTATGATTTGCTTTGTTCCAGCCCACAGAATGGACTTTGGGTATTGATTATGGCGTGCTTCTTAGCCAACAGAATGAATCAACACGGATATTCCGAATGGCTTTGATACACTACCGACCGGCACGGGTTTATCCAAGCGACCGTATTCGTCGGTGTCTTTGAAACTGATAATCAAAAATCCCTCAGTAATAATTGGATGCGATGTTTTCGAAGATATTGCCTCCCGGTAGTAACACACAGTCCTCTAGTCTAGTTTGTGGAAGTGATGCGACCGTGAGGGAGTGAGTAGATGAAATCGAACCATCTAGAGCTGTTTAGTTAGTTCGGTTGGGCAGTCAGTAGATAACTAGTAGACTAGTAGTCAGTCAGTCAGGTGTCGCCGGTCGGTCGGTCGGGCGGGCCAGCCAGCTAGACTAACTAGATAGATAGCCAGGGTCGGAAACTTGGTAGTAGTGAGTGAGTGAGTTGAGTATCTAACTAGCGTCCGGTGGGACGAGGCGAGAGCGATCGAAGGAAGAAAGAAGAAGAAAAATCAGGGCGAGAGCGTGATCAACAGGGGTGAGGCAGCTCAGCTCATCTGCTAAGCATTCATCACACCAACACCACCACCACCACCAATCCACGTCGCCTGATCGGGGCGGCGCGTAGATAGTAGAACAAGTGAGCAACATCATTCATACGACAATTTAATTATGTTAGAAGATCAGTAGTAGTCGTCATCATCAATTGATCTATTAATCCCATCCCACATGAGATGATCACCCCTTAAAACAATTCCAAGTGAAAGAAAACGGTTGCATGCCATGCCATGCTATGCTATTGATCGATGACGAGCGACTAGTTACACAGGAATGCCCAGAACATGAGGAATTGAGGGGGATGTAGCAACCTGTTGCAAACTTGCAACTTCAAACTAAGAGGAGGTCCGGGCGGCGGAAATATCCCTGTGACAGGGAAACATTTTTTTTAGCTTGGCGTGGTGGTGGTGCCGATTTGCCGCGGACTTTGACCTTTTGACTTTTTGAGTTTCATGTAGGAAGTATAGAGGCATCGATTGTATGGTTCCATCTAATCAGCGGGTGATTCATGGATTAGGTATTCTTATTATTATTATTGATGATTTTACGTTCCGTTCCGTTATCCGGATTATCGTCGACCAGCCTACCCTAACCACTCTTCTTCATGCTTGGTTCTTGTGGTCCGTCCTGGACCATACTTCTTAATTGATCGGCAAAAAGCAAAGGGACCAAGCATTGCTCGCTACCAGTAAATCAAGTACGTATGTACTAGTTACTAGTATACATTTTTTCTTCTATTGTGGTCTATAAGGGATGTATGTATGCATCTTGGCAGATATCGTGTACATCATTATCATCATCATAGGCTTCGTCATCATGAAGAAAAGAAATATGGAATGAGGAGCCTCTGACCGATTTTGCTATATAATACGTGTACTTTGGTGGTGTGGAATGACGATCGCATTTGCAATATTGTTAAGGCGGTGTAATGTGTATGTGTATGATGGTATAGTCATATGGTAGAAAGTATCTAGTTTGGTAGTTACGGTGTGTGTGTGTGTGTCACATCTAGACCTCAAACCAGAAAAAGAATCGGAGAATTAAGTATTAGAGTTTCAGCATCGGAAAGTTCTGTCCCCTTCAGCTGCCATGGTACACAGCTAGACGGGAAGCGAGAATAATGGGGGTAAGTAGTTGGGTGAACCCGATTGCCGCCACACCTTCTTTTTTTTTCCCTCCCGGTCGGGATCCCGTGTTGTAAGTTGCAACAGCACAACTAGTACTCGCATTCGCATTCCTCAAGGGGGGATTGATTGATTGGTTTGGGGGTTGAGTTACGTACAACTTTGGTAGTAGATTGTCTGGTGATCGAGACTATTCTATGAAGAAAATAAAATAATATTGATAATTGCAATGGCGAAAATCTATCAACCCAACGCGCCGATTTAACCGAGTAGATACTACTACTATCATGAAGATATTGGTGGTGGTGGTGGTGGTGGTTGGGTGTAGGTCAAAGTGTTGGGTAAAGGAAAAGAAAAGTTTTTCCTTCTAGACTTGAAGCAGACTTGTTCTTCTATGCGTGATTTGATAAGGGTGGCGTTGCTTGTTAGTTAGCTATAGTAGTAGCTTCCCGTTTTTTGCCATGACTAAACCCAAAGCAGAGCAGCTAGCCACGTTCTAGTCCTTGCAATCGCCCGTTCGGATCCAAAGTGCCGTTCGGACGGTCGAATTATTTTTGGAATGGGGGCCGGTTTACTGTTCGCATGATCAGCAGAAAAAAAAAAGGAAAAGAAAAAAATCGGATGGGACAACAAAATAGCGCAAGTCAGGAACAAGGAGTCATAGAGTACGTACTACTCGCAAAGGAAAAAAAAAGTTATATAAACTCCCTTCTGGTACCGTCAATTGCGACTTGGAATTACTATCCATCCAACAAAGCAAAGCAAAGCAAAGCAAGCAAGCTTCTCTTACTTCTACTACTACTCTCTACATCATCGCATTCCACAACCTCCTCCACACAAGTCTATCCCACATTCCTCAAAAACAACCACCATCAAAATGACTATCCCTTATCCCTTGATCGGCCCTGAATCCTACGGCCTTGGCTCCAAGCAGGCTCGTCGCAGTGCCTGCAGCACCCCTCGCAGCGTTGACAGCAACGTCATTGATGCTGCTTTCGCCAAGGAAGTCCAGTCTACCAACGCCTCCCAGGAGCATTTGGATTCTTGTGCCAGCAGCAACAAGTCTGAGAAGAAGTGGAAGGCTAGATTCTCGAGGAAGTATGTTCATACCACTGCCTATAAATGAATGACTCTGGGATTTGATGCTAACGATGAAACAATAGGTTCTTCCACTTCGCTTGAACTACACCACACTATAAACAACATTACAACACTACGAACGAAAACAACATAATCAACAATAATGAATCGCTGGACGGAATATAGCAAAGCAAAGCAAAGCAAAGCAAGCAAAGCATGGGTGTTTAGATGGATTGGATTGCATAGTTGGGAGCATTGGTTTTTTTTGCATCATGTCATGATTGTTATGGATAAATTAGATATAATACTTAATTAATACCCGCGGGATATGCACGCTTTACATTATCTCACCTTCTTTCGAATATAAATTTTGGGTACTATACATAACATCGATCGGAACATTAATCCTTCCTACATACTATGTACTATGTATGCACTCTGCAGAAAAACCTGTTCTGAAGATACCATTCATCAATTGAATTAATTAATCAATAATCCCTGTTCATCACACGCACATCATCCACACCAACCTACTTCCACTACGAAGTAACTAGATAGTTAGATAAATGAGTGACTCAAACCGGTTTCAATTTTCTAGAACAGCCCAGACACAACTCCCACTTCACAAGATAACGCTAGCGACAAACTAGCAAGTTATCTAGCAACCACTCACAATCCCTGAAATTCTCCTCCCTCCCTCCCGACGCTAACGATTTTAGTTCTCCCGCTCGGATAGAACGGCCCTTGCCCTTGCCCTGTCTTGCCTTGCCCTGCCACGCCACGCCACGCCACTAAAGTAAGGCTACGCCACGGCGATCGGGTCAATCAGTCAATCAAATCAGTGGAGAATAATGTCGGCCAATCACGGAACTAATTTATTCGATAGTTGGGATGATAGTCTGTAGTTAGGGATGTTGGGTATGGGTATGGGGGTTTGATCGTTTTCTGCAGGTGATTGATTATGGTGGGGACTTTGATGTATACTAGTTTGTGGTATGGAGATCATTTTTGGGATGGATGGCCTGCTACTTAGTATCAGGGGTACTATAGTGATGTGTTCATTATCGCTGGGTTGGAGCTAGAGCCTTATAATCAGGGGCGGTCTTTACCATTGTTCGCATTCGCAAGGCGGTGCTTACTGTAGTACGGAGCTGACTAGTAACATGAGTAGTATGTAAGTGAGCGATTTATTGCACAGCATTGATCAAGTGGTGTTTCATCCCCTAAGGTACTTAGTAATTCTGTCATGGTGACTGACTGACTGGACTGGTGGTTTCATGTTACACTACGGCGATTAACTAATGTCATGTCATGTCGTATCATGTCTGCTTTCGGGTAGTTCATATTACTACTACTACGAGGAGAATTCATTTCCATTCATAATTTCATTCATTCATCGTAACTACTTCGCATCTATGTATAAGGTCGGATGATGCCACCCCTTCCTTATAGTATAGTCACAATGACATACTCAAAGCAAAGTTAAGTACCCATGAACCCACCCACAGGATTTACTTACTATATATAGCAAGGCAAGGCAAGGCAAGCAAGAACATCAAAGTCCATGATGCCACGACCTGTGGAGACTCTGATGGGACCCTCCTGAATATCACTGCAACCTACTTTGTAAGGACGGACCCACGGATAAAGGAGCGATCAGACAGAAAGAAAGAAAGAAAGACAGGGTGAGACTCTTGTATGTGGGTCCAGACAGAAGAAAGCTCCGATCAACCCGACCGGATTCGGTTTCGGTCGGTCGGTCGGTAAAGTCTTGGCCATCCGGTATGACAGGATAGCAGCAGACAAGCTTTTACCCCATTTACCTGGAAGGAGAGTCAGATGGTCCCTTACTGTCAGATCCTTTGTTACCTCCCTGACGTCTGTCTCGGGCGGATTGGCCCCAGGTACTCAGTTGGTTGATGTTCCTTGGGCTGGTGATGATGCTGGCTTTCGCTTCACTGATCTGAGCACCGCCGCTGGTACTACCTCCGGACTTGTTGTTGTTATTGTTGTTGTTGGTGGAGCCGGTTCTGTCAGACATTTTGGAGATATATTATACCGGTAGCAGACTGCGGTGGGGTATACTATATGTTAGTGGTATCTTGGGTTGGACTGAGTGGGATTCTCGAGGACAACTGTTTAGATACTGTCTGGAGGAGAGCTGGAGCTGGAGCTGGAGATGTCAGGGTGTGAAGACCGTTGTGAGCGATGATGATTTCCAGATTGGTGTGGTTTCTTCATGGTTTATATAGATGAGATGACTTGATTCTTGACTTTGGGGATTGATAACTGGAAGATACTGAAGCTGCTTTCTCCGGTGTTGTGAGAAATGCATCGCTGGATTTCATCTTGCAGCGTCTATTGTAGAGGAGTATACCGTCAATCTGGAGAGTTACTGTGAGTGATATATGTTAGGAACTGTAATCACTGAGAAATTCCGAAACTGTTTGGTGTAGCGTAGGAAGATGGAGAGTCCGTCATAAGATATGACACAAAAAAACGAAAGACAAAATATGCATTTAGGCTTATATTACTTTGGAACACTGCATTTCTGGTCATTGCCGCAATAAAGATGTATAATTCTCATATCGATGCCGGAGAGAATCTCGAAGATGGCTGAGTAAAGCTTAACATAGAATATGCAATTAAGCTTGTATGACCTGAAGGCACTGCCTCTGGTTTGTACCGCAGTATCAGGCACAATCATCCTATTAAGATCGAAGAGCATCCTTGGAACTCACTGATCGAAAGCTTAACCTTTGTTCTATAGGTTGGTGTCGCAAATTCTCGCGGCCAAGCTGCCATGACCGTGGGAGCAAGCCGTAAAACCCATAGTTTGGGATACTCGCAAGAGAGACAAGAATTGTGCGCTTTGCTGCAGAGAACAGAGTTTGCATCGTGCGGCTTCTGGAATGAAAGCATAAAGAAAAGAAGGGGAACGAGGCTTTGTTAGTAAAAGAATGGAGGGAACAATGAGAAGAAAGCGGAGAAAGAAGCGATGCGGGTAAACGTGACGTGACAATGGGCTTGTGAGTTGCCAAAGAAAAATTACGAAATGAGTTGTCTATCGGAGTTTACATACTGGAATGAGCCTTAATTCAGGGAGGTTCGATTATATCCAGCTTGTGAGAGACTGCTCAGTGAAGTCTAGTTGATCTGTAAGGATGATGGTATGTCTATTGTCTATTGTCTAGAATGCTAACACTAACCAGTGATTGTCCATTATGCTGATCTCTGGCCCCCTCCACGCCTTCCACGGCCCCTGCCGCGTGCACTCTTCTGCCTCTTCTCAAAACCACTGCCATCGCCTGGCCCACCAATACTGGCATCGCGTTTGCCACCAGGACGACCACGCGGCGTAAAAGACGAGCCTCGAACCGAGTCACCTCCGTGTCCATAGTTGAATCCGGGAATACCCTTCAACCCCATCTTGCCAACGATCTTCTTGTCGATGACAGGGGGTTCAGGGCATGCCATGCCTTGGATAGCCATCTCATTGGCCATCTGAACAAGACCCGGTTTGTCGAGACGAAGCTGCTTCAGGAGACCCGAACCAGCAAAGAAGCCGATGAAAGACGAGTAGGCGCGTTGCTTCTTCTCTTCGTCAATCGTGTACATAGCTTCCGCGACGGTCTCTGCATACGAGGCAGCTCCCTCGATGATGGCGTCGGTCTGGGGATGGGGTTGGATGGGCAAGTGGCGATTGTTTCTCAAGAAGAAGGTCTCCGCTTCGGTGAGGAGGATGATGGCGCGACCGTCATTGCCAGCACGGGCTGTACGGCCAACACGGTGGACGTATTGTTCGCCGTTGGTCGGCAAGCCAACCTGGATGACCAAGTCGACGTTGGGGAAATCCATGCCACGGCCAATGACGTCGGACGCGAAGAGGATGCCAGCAGCCGCTTCCTTGAATTGAGCGGTAGTCTTGGTGCGAGCGCTCTGACTGAGTCGGGAGTGAATCTCAAACACACTCAACTTCGTCAAGCCCCGAGAAAAGGCAGCTGCGAACAGACTGACCATGTTTGCCGTGACGCCAAAAACGATGATTTTCGAACTGGTCTTCGTTTCCAACTGAAGAAGGGAGGCAAGAGTGGTAAAAGAATCTGCCACAGACGGCATCAGCACATGATACTGGGGGACTCTCTCATGCGTTGGGGTTTCGTTTTCATCAATAGTAGAAATGCTACTGTAGCCTGGCTTGAGCACAACACTGACCACATCCCTGACTTTGGGAGGAAGAGTGGCAGAGAAGCACATTCCCTGCCATCCGGCGCTTTTGGGGGGAATGTGTCGGATAATGTGCTTCACATCGGCTAGGAAGCCACTCTCGAGCATCGTATCAGCCTCGTCCAGAATCAAGGTCCGGATGTTAGACAGCTTGATGGCCGCCTCGGGCTCGGACAGGTAATCTTTCAACCGTCCGGGAGTTGCTACAAGAACAGAGGGGGCCTCTTTCATGAAGCGCGAGAACGCAGAAGCCCGAGCGGTTCCACCAACAGCAATGTCGCACTTCAGAGGTACTGCCATTTGCGATGTCAGTTGATCACATGACTTGGCAATCTGCTGGGCCAGTTCACGCGTAGGGGTAACGATCAAGGTGGCGACCTGCCCTCTAGGCGGTGCCATAGAGGGATCAAGAAGACAGTGCAATGTAGGTAGCAGGAAAGCCAGCGTTTTGCCAGTACCAGTCTTGGCCTGGACGAGGCAGTCACTGCGCCAATCTGGCAGTTCAGTTAGCACCCGTTGCTGAACGGGCGTCATATGGGTGAATCCCAAGACCTTGAGAGCTTGGAGAAGCTTAGGGTTCAGCTTTCCAGCCATGGTCTCATACAGCACGGTGCCGACGGTGGTTCCAGGACTCTGCATGATGGATGGTTGAGTTTCTATTTTTATAGAAAAACCTGCAATTAATCGCTAGAGGAAAATTTCGACAGTGAAATTATAGTATGACGATTCGGCAAATGGCCGTTTTTACCTGCAAATAGCAAGGTAGTGGAACAGTGAGTGAGTCTGCTCCCTTCTCATTTCCTTTTCACTTTATATATATGATATATGATGGAGGTGGTTCTGATGGAGGTGTGAAGCCAATTGCCTCGTGGGTCTCTGAATCTCGTCGAGATTTGCCTGCCAAGACAAAACTTAGTAAGCTGTTGATGATTGGCTGCTTTGGACCCACCGCCCTGAAATGGAGAGCGGGCCGCCCATCTTCATCGGAAAGCGAATAGGAGCTTTCCTTTACGAAGCTTGTCCATGGCGCTGACGGGCTTGTCGATTTTTACTTACATAGTAAAAAGTGGCTTTCATTGGTAGACGTGTTGAAGGATCATAAGAGATAAGTGGGACATCCCGACATGAAAAAATTGCTGGTTGTCTGAAATTGAGGCACTCTCTAACGTGTGAAAGAAGATGCCTACTGGAATCACTAAGATCGGAACCGTCTCGACCCCTGCTTTTAAAAATATAGCTCACTGGGTTATGGCTCGATCAACCGGTGTCGTCTACTTTAAAATGACGGCTACAATATGACGGGAGCTTACACGCATAATACTTGATCTTAATGTCGCAGACTGCTACAACTAGACCAAAAGAGGTATCCCTCGGATAGTGGCGCGCCTCGATCTGCCGACATACTTCATAACGTACTATTTCGGAATAAGAAGAACACGACGCTAGATGGCTTGATGGCTCCATATGAAAAGTGCATTGATAGCGAACAACTAATTGTTTCACACATCATACGACTGCTCAGTATTTGCAAGCACCATCGCACTCATTTCCCACATCCACTCAAATCCCTGCAAGCACAGTTGGACATCTACAGCTCACTGAACAGTGATGGAGGAAGATCCGCTGCTCTGGTAGCCCTCGGTAGCCACAATCTGGTAGTTGTGAGTACCCAGGTTCATGCCCAGCTTAGCCCAAGCGTTGAAGTGGTTGGAAGTGGTAACAGTTCCTCCGACTCTCTTGTTCTGGCGAACGGACCAGTACTGGGTGAAGGTAGCGGTTCCTTGGATAGAAGCGGCGTTGGTACGGGTAGCCGTGTAGATATCGTAGACGGATCCATCGGAGGTGACGGTGCCCTTGTAGGTACCTCCACTGCCGGGGTTGTAGTCGCCGTAGGACTCGACGATGTAGTACTCGATCAGGGGGTCAGTGGTCCAGCCATAGACGGAGAGGTAGCCGTTGCCGCTAGGGGTGAAGGTGCCGCTGTAGGTGATGTCCCTGAAGTTATGTGAGCATTTGTTTCAGAGAATACCCTAGAGGAACAGCTTGAGAGAGGTTAACTTACTGCGCACTTCCAGGGTTCCAGCCCTTTCCACCGACAAAGTTGCCAACGTTGGACCACTCAACGGTGTACGAGCCAGCGTCACCGTTGGTGTAGGTCACATCACCACCGCCGTCGGTCCAGAAGGAGTAGTAGAAGCCGTTGTTCTCGCCGGTCGAGCTCGGGGTCGAACGCTCAGAGAGCTTGTGCAAGGCATCCGAACGCTCGACGACAGAGTCGTGAGGAACGGCCAGAGCAGCCTTAGCTGCGGCGAAGCAGAGGAGAAGGTTCTTGGTAAGCATGTTGAAGGAGACTTGGTTGAGGAGTTAATTCAATGGGGCTGGGAGTCAGAAGAGAAGGTCTGCAGCGACGGAGGAGACGTTCCTGATATATCCATGATTCTGCAGAAGCTATTTAGCCTTTATTAAGAAAGGTACCTGCCGAGACCCTGCCGAGACCCTGCCGAGACCCTAAATGTGAGACCCTGCCGTACCTGAAACGTCCGCTGTGATGGGGTTTAGCCTAGTCGGTGGAGCGTCCGTGGGCGATTTGGAAAGCTGAATTGATATCCCGAAACAGCCTAAATCGCCTTCTAGGGTCCTGCAGACATCCTGAAATCATAATCCTGTTCAAATAGGCAGTGGAGTTTCAAGGGTCTAGATTTCCGGTTGTGAATCTCGATATCCGTCTGAATAGCCTGACTCTATTGCTGTGTTAAAAGCATCTTGGCTCGAATACTTCCTTGTTCATTACGTAAGACCCATAGTTTGGCTCTCATCCAATCATGGATGGCATATAAAACCAATGATGACATTGTGTACTACTTATCATAATGATAATCCTTATACTGTAATCTACAAAGTGATACCGCCTGTATCTACTAAGGAAGGAAAATGCTAGCGAGTGCTAACTTAGGGGAGTGTCTCCTGCCGTTAGTGACTCAAGAGAGTGCCACCGCCGCGTTAAATTTGAGGAGAATACTATCACTACTTATTAAGGAAGGTGCCAATGAGATTCTTCGCTTGAAACCTAATTGGAAAGTAGAACGCGAGGGAAAAGACCGTGCAGAACCGGCTTCCCGACGGTCAAAGGAAAAAAAAAAGGCTAGACGCCATAAGATGTTTAGATATTAGCCTGTGGCTCAAGAAGATCCGATTGCTCAGATAGCCGCCCGATACCTTGTAGTATAAGTCTCCACTGAGTGGGGCGCCAATAGTGCCATGACAGTGCTCTTTCCATTCTGAGAATTGGTGAGATGCTCTGCCGTAAGATAACCATACTCTTCCCTCCTGTGGCATTATCTCAGGGTCTACGCGTTTCAGTATGACTTAGAATATTTGTCATTGAGCACCGCTAATTCTGTAGGTATCTGAGCAAAGCGAACATGAAGTGCATCATTGTCATGCAGTGAAATAGTAATAAGGGTCAAAGCCAAAAAAACCTCTCATAGCAAAATGGATAACAACTGGCTAATAAAACATCAACTTGAAGAAAGTAATAAAGTAATCAAATTCATTTCTCTCCCGGAATCAAGATCATCATTTAGCAATAGTCTTTGGTATCGTAATCCGGAAAAATGTGATCGAGGCTGCAAACCGAGTTGCCGCCCAGATAGAACGAGGTAACTATGATTCAATCATCAGTATATGAGCACGACAATATGACAACATCAGCATGTAAAGGAACTCACGATCAACAGGCAGAGTACTGCTTGGATTCTTGATCACGACCTGGCTCTCTTCCGCCGAAGTCAAACTATTCTCGCACTTCAGCTGCTCCGTGCCGTAGGTAGTTGAGTTTCCTCCCAACCACACGTCAACATGCCAAATATGGCTCTTCCAATCTTTAGTGCACTGTTCGCAATAGTCTTCGTTGATCAGATACTTCTGTAGGTAGGGCGAGTAAACCACCTCGCATCTGTCGAATTCGCCAGGCGCCGTGGCGAAAGTCAGTGGATTCTCGTGGGTGCCGATGCCGCCAGCCGCCATGCCGCGGCCACAGTCTTCCGAGATGTCTGCACCCGGAGGGTCGTTGTCGGGATATCCATAGAAGGTGTAAGACACTTTGCTGACAACATGGCATTCTCCATCCTGGGACTGGCTTCCTCCCTGTATGGGCTGTGTGTCAGTTACATTGACAACTGCAGTTGGCCGCTGAGAGTCCTCCCCATCAGACGTAGCACTTGGCTGGTGCGGAACATCACCGGTCGGAGTGGCACTCGCGGTATGAGTGCCAGTTCCATTGTGAGGACCGCCTTCGTTGTAAGTGCCTCCATCGGGATCCATAGGAAGGGTGTCATTTCCCTGAGTAGTACTTACTCCGGTGTTATGACTGCCTCCATCGTCGTTATTGTCGTGCTTAAACTTTTTAGGGAGAAAGACTGAGAGACAGACAACGGTAACCACTATGGCGACGAGGAAAAAGGTTCCGAGAAGGATCGACAGCAGGCATTTGCGTTTGTATTTTGGACCCTTAGTCGGCTGCACATTGTTTGGAGCTGGGAGGAAGCTGGTCGTTTGATCGGAAGACATGATTATACGTATAGACGAAAGGTGGAAGTTACTTGTAGTAAATAAAGAGGGCGTGGGTAGTTTGTAGGGTAGACAGTCTGTGTTGTGGTGGCTCAGGAAGGGAACAAAGAGAAAAGGGGCTCAGGAAGTTAGAAGCGCCATCTTGTTGGTAGACTCATCGCTACGTCTGCAGGTTGAGTCACAGACCGGGGTCAGCCACGGTTCGGATCTCAACCATGAGCAAACATCAGGGTAACCAACCCATGATGAGCTACATAAACAGTAAGTATGAGCGTGGCTAGACAGCACAGCCTCTGATGACCGCGTAGTCGACAGGACGAGGTTGAGAGCGCATCATTGTATCGCCCTGCGAGGCTGTCGACGTGTGGATTACCAATTCTATTCTATTAGGGCCCAGCCCAGAAAACGTCGAATACTGGCCGCCATAGACTGATCGGAATAAGGCAACATAGATGACGCCAGCACGCAGCTTCATTAGTACGTCGCGGTGATGCAGGTCATCGGCCAGCAGGAGCCTAGCACCCTTACGCTGGATCGATCCCTTATTAAGTACTTCAGCCCCGGATTTATAAACTGGATGCACCTAGATGTCCTGAGCGACACAAGTGTCAGTGCCACACGGGGTATGAATTGTCTCCGTTTACTCAGTTAACTGGGTGATATTGGCGGCGTAAGGCGCAGCGTACAGCGTAGGTGTGGTGAGTGACAAAGACCATTCGACCTAATATCGACGAGATAGCGTCTTAGATACCCTATATTCTCTCGCAATACCATTGCTGCGATCAATACTGCTAATAAACATGCTTTTATCGTAAGCATGTCCAACTTTATGATCTTAAGAGGGGTGAGATAGATCCCTCAAGAGTCCATGCTATGAAACCTGCCGTGTTGGTTACAGACGGCAGGGAAAGGCCAAATCAGGGTTCCTAGTTCGATAGCCATAACCGTATAAGTCTTTACAATATCTGAGTATCAAATGATCGTAGATGAGATAGAGTGAGATTCACGATTTATCGTATAAATGATGCTCAGCTCAAGACCCGTTATCAGACTAAAGGTTATTCCGGAAGCCATTTAAGTAGCTTCATAGAGAGGAATAAAATCATAAATCCTTGCCATTTATAGGTAACTAAAAACGGCAGGAGACGACGAGACTAAGTTCCGTTAACAATTAGATGCAACTACACGAGGACTTGGTTAGAGCGTGAAGAGAATGCAGACTAAGAGGGTGTGAGGCTTACACACCTTGTTCGTCGAGATCATTTTCAGCTCACAACTCAGCGTCATCAGGCCAATGTAATAACTTAGAGACCCAGCCCTATCCACGCGATCTAGTATCTTTTAGAGAGGGATAAGGCTTAAGGCTGAGGACATCCAGATATAACAAGTTCATTGAATATCCGTGCTCATAATCGCGTCTTCGCTATAAACATAATCAGCCAAGGGTCAAGTTTACTCAAGCGCTGTACAAACCTGATGTCCATAATATCGTCCTCGGTGAGCGAGAGATATATGGTCGATTCGTTAAGCGGGAGACATATGGTCGACTGGCTGGGTCCCATTAACCCGGGCTGTCCTGCGGCGGCATACTGATAGTTGACTAGATCGCCGCGTGCAATGGCCAGGATAGAAGTTGTATCATAATTCAGCGGGTGATAAACCGCAAGCAAAACACCACGCATAGTAGGGGGAATGGCGGGATTGTAGTTGTAGATCGCGTAGGTTAAGGTATCAATATCATCAATAGCTCTCTGAAACTGGTCGGGTCTGTTCCAGTATTCTTCTGTACACGGGAGATATAGCCACGTTGTACTAAACTGCCACTGAGACACATCATAAAGATCATCGGCCATCTTTAGCTTTTGAAACACGATATTAAGTAGATAGTAAGAGGCAACGCGCGTCTGAGGGAGTAAAGAAGCCAGAAGAAGCGAGAAATTGGAAGAGGTAAGGTCAAAAGAGGAAACTGATTTATGCTTCCACCTCTGAGCAGTCACTCCTTCCAAAATTCGAATTCAATACACTTATTCCTTGGGCCGGTAACACGGCTTGCCGAGAATAAGATAGCCATTCCCATAATTGCAAGCTTATGAATGCAGATGTCTGCGTATCTTGAGATTCACAAAGGGAAGTCCCTCGGTGAAGATATGTGGCAGCCATCATAGATCCGGGCCCAAGGCCCGTGTTGGTCTATAAGGGGTTGGTTAGGTTACGACACGAAAACGAGGGAAGAGTGACTGCAATACCTTGAGTCTGACTGTGCAATTGAAAGTGTGTAACGAGCATTAAGAAGAGTAATCCACAGCAACTAGGGGTTCAGGCAACCTCAAGTCCCAAGTCATATACTATCTGTTAAAGCCCTAAGTGTAAGGACTCACAGTTCAGTTTAGATAAGGTGCACTAACGCTCGGCGATACTGGTCCTCCGAGGTAGGGCCCGAGGGGCATGTACGTGAAAGCACGCACTGACAAGGTGGCAGCGAGGTAGCAGTGAGCTTAGGCGACAAAAAGTAGTACTCTTATAATATAGATGATGGAGAATAGGTAACATTCTCGTTTGAACTAGCTTGATGGTAATTCAGTGAAACCCCTGCTCTAGTGGTCGCTATCTGGGGTTAAGCTCAAGGATGGCTCATATTGGGGTTTCTTAGAAAGCCCCACTAACTCTAAATATTGCAAGCTGGATAAGCATTTAAAGTTTAAACTGATATTATTGAGGTGGATATGATGGTCTATCTCATCTACCTGATCAACTACTGAACTCTCTGCCTTACGACTCTTCTTTTAATCGGTGGGGTAATTGGACGCACCACACAACACTTGCAATGATTTCTTGTCGCGACGCGCGTCAACTTCATCGAATCAGACGGCCCAACGGGCAACAGATAGCCACTAGTACTCCATAGCCATCACCTCATCCATCAGCACGAAGGCGTCACCACCAAGCTTCATCAAAGTCCACTGAGCTGTGGTGATATATCGCTAGAGCAATGTCCGTGCGTCGGCTCTCGCCTACGATAACAATTTGGACTGTCGAACCAGCGAGCTTCTCCCTGTCTAGTTGGTTGTTGGCAATCATATGAATAGCATGGGCTGATATAAAAATTATTCCTGCCAGTATATATCGAGCGAAATTGCGCACTCACAGGGCACTCAGCACGCAATTGACGCTAATAGCATGTCACCACCAGCACATCCTGGCCGCTCAGCGAAGCGCCATGGGAGGTCATGGAGCCCCGATCGAAAAGATCATTTATATCTTGTGCTGAGCCTGTCTTTGGTCGCCCTTGAATGTTCTGGAGATTTACTTTTTCATCCATCCACAAATAAGCTAACAGCACCGTTCTCATGGCGCTTTTGGAATTTCCCAAGCTCAACTCCACACTGGGGACGCTGAGGGCCTATCACTTGGCCGCGATCATATTGTGAGAGATGCCAGTGTCCTTTTCTATGTGATCGCTAACCTCGAACCCCTTTCAGCGTCTCCTCGTTCTTGGCGGGTTATGACTCCGGCATTGCGGGCGGAATTTTGAGCTACAAGACCTTCGAGGATGATTTTCGTTATACTAGCGGACAGGAGTCTAAGGTCTCCTCCTTAACGGTCGGACTGGAGCAGCTCGGGTCCTTCGTCGCATCTCTCTTTGCATATTATCTCACCGATAAGTTCGGTCGCAAATGGGTTATCATCGGCTCAACTGCCGTCTTCTGCATCGGGGTCATTATCCAGGTCATTAACACCCACTCGCTTGGCGCATGGTATGCAGCCCGCATCATCGCTGGTATCGGTATGGGAGGCCAAAGTGTTGTCGTTCCTATGTACTCCGCCGAGATGACGCCGAAGGAAATCAGAGGGCGATGTGGTTCCTTCTACCAATGGCTATACACATGGGGTATCCTAGCGGCTTACTGGATTGACTACGTACGTGTACTAACAGACATTGTGCCTGGTCATTGGCTGACAAACGCATAGGGTGTCGCAGCGAGTGCAAGCATTTCGAAAACATCGCGCGAATGGCAAATCCCCGTGGGTCTTCAGTTGGTATCGGGAGGAATCATGGTGATCGGAGCATGTACACTGCCCGAGTCCGTACGTTGGCTCCTAAGCCAAAACAGAACGGACGAAGCTTGGAAATCCCTGACCTGGATTCGCGGCGACGAAGGAGAGAAAACCATAGAAGAGTTCAAGGAAACACAGTTGGGTTTGAAGGCAGAAAAGGCAGCGAAAGAGAACTTTTCTCTTCGTGAGCTGTGGGAACCGGCTAATCGCCTGCGTTTCTGCGTCGGGCCTATGCTTTTTGTGTTCCAAAACGCGACGGGAAGCAGTGCCCTCGCTGTCTTCGCACCGGAATACTTTAAGCTCCTTGTCGGAAGCGGAGGTAATCGTGATCTTCTGCTCACTGGTCTCTTCGGTGCCGTGAAATTTATCGCTTGCACGTTCTTCATCCTCTTCCTCGCTGAGCGATTCGGTCGTCGGATGTTGCTTACGGGCGGATCAGCCTTAATGGCCGTGTGTATGTTGATTACCGCTTTGATCGTCAAGTGTATCCCGACCGAGTCGAGTACGTCGGTCACCTCTGCCGGTCGAGCCACGGTGGCCATGCTCTACTTGGATATCATGGTAGGCAATCTTCTTACATTACACGATTTAGTACCCGACTAACGTTTCCTACTAGGTGTACAACTGTTCATGGGGCCCAGTCCCTTGGGCATATGTGCCGGAGATCTTCCCTACGCGCATTCGAGCCCTGGGACTAGCATGCAGTATGTTGGCTCACTGGGCAACATCCTTCTGTTTCTCCTTCGCCAGTCCCTACATGATTGATAACATCGGTGCCAACACCTTCCTGTTATTCATGGCTTTCGACATTACTGCTGCACTCTTCTGCTTCGTCTTCGTACGAGAGACCCGTGGTCAGAACCTGGAGGTCGCCGCAGGAACAGAGTGGGATGTGGTTGAAAAGTCCGCTGATGGTTTGGAGGCAAGCGAGAAAGGTGAAATCGACCCTGATAGACCTTCAGAGATTGCTGTGGCACCTGGGGCTGGCAAGCAACTAGAGGTCGTTGCGGTGCATGATACTTATGGCTTGAACTTTAAGCGGCGGTCGTAAAACTAGTTAGTATATAATTATCGGACTATAGCGTATAATGGTTGGTGGAGAACTTGTCATAAACAGTGATGGAACGTGTTACAGGCATATAGCCTATTGACGGTGGGAACATACAAGACGTTGTTAGTGTTATAAATCTCGAGCGACTTTCATGATTGCTAGGATATAATGGGTCTTATTAATTCGTTACAATATTCTTGAGATACTACAAACCATGGACTTGTTACACAAGGTGGAGAGATCTTCAAATATACTGAGGAGGGCCAAGGATCGTCTAGGACTCCAGACTTACTTCACCTACTGTAGCCATTGACCGTCCGAAAATAAAATAAATGTAGAGACGAGACAGGAGGCTCAGTGGGATTCTGACGTGGTCGATTCCATCTCTCTGGCGACTGACTATCCAACTCAGTCTTTTCCGTCCACTTCCCCTCCTACCCAAGCACAACATTGTCTCACTCTCACCTAAGATCATCTCATAAGACTATGTCTATCCCCGGTCAAAATCAAGTTTTGCTCCATGTCGTCGGGGCAAACTTGAATGAACAATGAAGACGTTCCAATTTCTCTTAGCACTTATTGGAGCTGTAGGTTCAAGTCCGCCTGTCTTCAAGTCTCTTTGTGATATAACAGCTGGGTTCAATAAACTCTTACCTTTTATGAAATCACTACCGAGCTAAGTTTTTCTGACAATCGTGTCTCAGTAGGCCATCCAGTGCACTCGAAAGATACAGCAGAGTCAAAGATGGTTTGACAACAATTGAGAGTTATCAGTTTTGATCGAACTGATTTCATGCTATAATGATGTACACTCTAGACGAGCTAACCTCAAATCATCAAGAGCTAGAAGGGTAGCCCGATTAGCGCATATGTCAAAAGACCTGCTCGAGCAAGATGATCCATGATCTGACAAGACGCCACGCAATTATTGCAGCCCCACGGGTTGCTAGAAACGAATGGTTAAGGTTCGATATTTTCTAGAATGATCGGAAGATCATTCACCTCGTGGAAAATATCGATTTCGTCGATGACGGTTCGTCAAGATGCAGGAGCCGTGACACAAAAACCATTGGAGGTCGCAGCAGAGGGGGTTTACTTGGCAGCTGACGATCGAAAGGCTATACCATTCCCTTAGGATAAATGTACCGATTTACGGCTAAGTCCTTTCCCTGTGAGCAACACATTGAGTATTGTTTACGTTCCATTTTTTCATCTTAACTTTTCATCAGCAGACCCAATTTTTCCCCCACTTTGCCATCTTGAAGGGCTTTTGATCACCTCATCTTACGATAATGTGCCTGCAGTGGCGTCTGGGGGGCCTAATCGGCGTCAAACTAGGACATCACCCCGGTCAAGGGTCATTTGCACTGTCAAGTCCTTCTGAGAGACCATCCCGAAGTGGTGCCGCATCAAGAGCCGGGCAATTTGTTAGAGTTCGGCCGCTGCCGACGGCCGACAGCCGATGAGGGCCCAGACTCGCCCACACGGCCCGTGCCCGGCCATGCGATACGGTGATTGGATACATTGCTCGCTTCTTTTCACCTCGATTGCGAGATCTGGAGCAGGAATCGTGTTCATAACCCCGAAGTCACAGAGAGACACGTTGACAACCACGCTAAGCTCATGCACGTGAGGGGTGACGCCGCCACGTGGATCTGGCCGGTTCCTCTTCTTTTCGCCATGCCGTTGTTTGTTCCCAGATTTCCCCAGATCCCCAACCAATCCCCCATAGGGCAACGCAACGTG